AGACCACCTGACAGGTATCAGGCGTCTATAGAATGTCAGGCAAATAAGGTTCCTGCTAATTACCAAGAATTAACTCTATATCCAACTGAGGAACAGAAAGCTTGGAAAGATGCAATGGAAAAGGGATTAAAATCATTGCAAAGGTTAGAGGTGTATGAAAATGTAAAGTTACCACCAGGTAAACATGCCATTGGATATAAATGGATTTTGAAACTTAAAAATAGTGTAGATGGGACTGTAACCCATAAAGCCAGGTTAGTTGCACAAGGGTTTGCTCAGTCAGCCAATGACTATGATGAGGTTTTTGCGCCTAGTTTAAAGGATACAACGTTATGTGCAGCATTAGTATGGGCAACTAAGAATGAATATATAGTTAATCATTTAGATGTAGGGACAGCATATCTTCATGCACCGTTATATAGTATAGCAACATACTATATATTTACAGAAGCCTGCAGGATTCAAAACTGATAGTAAAACTGATTGCTGGAGGTTGAAAAAGAGTCTTTATGGCTTGAAGCAATCAGGATATGAATGGAATAAGGCTCTTTTTTGCTAAATTCTTTGTTGCTTTGGGACCATCTATTCCAGGTGGATACTGCTCATTCTATATGTGTTAGCTAAGGAGTAGTTGGGATTCTCATTCCTTTAGGAATGAGATTTAGAATATGACCCTTTTAGTTGCAGCCCCTTCACTTAGGAGCTATTTGGTGTAAGATGTAGATGACTTTTACCTATCACTTAGTAAAGCAATAAAAACAGTGTTTTTCTGCAGGTTCTTGAGAAAGGAGAACTTTAAATAAGGCAATCAGCAGTATCTTGGGGCAGGTGTTAACTGCTAAGGAGCATTCGTTATGTTTTATGTTGATTAAATGGTCACGTTTTTATAATCACAAATAGTACATAATTCATTAGTAAGTAGAATATAAATACTTATATAAAACATAAATAATAAAATGTTATGTAGTCATATTAACTCACTTAATGTCTTGCTGCATTCATCTGTCATCAAATTATTTAATAGCACACATTAAAATAGTACCTGTAGAATTCACATCTCTTGGGGTCCTGTGGGTCTTGCATTGTTTTTCTCAGTATTTGGCTTAGATGCCTAGGAAACCAGCAAAGAGCAAAAATCACAACTAAACAGAAAACTGTTTTAGCAACTTCTCGGCGCTATGGGAAAAAAAAAAAGACAATGATTTGCAAATATAAGCCAAGGCAAATGTGAAGCAATTAAGGAGGAAAGTGGCTCAAATAAGCAATAGTCAAGAAGAAAAGGTTATTTCTAACAACTTGTCAAAATATATACACTTGTGGAACAAAAAAATTACAATTAAAAAGTATCAGAGAAAGTACTTATAGTTTCAAATATTATGAAGGCAAGCAGAGGTCGGAATGGGACAACTTGGTGCAGCCAACTTGCCGCAATGAGTCGCAGCCAACCCATTGCAGGGCAACTCACTGCAGGACAATTCAATTTAAACATTTAAAATAATTTTAAAAACATTTAAAATTTTATTATTCAGATTTCATTTAGTTCCTCCTTTTTCATCCTTTATTTAATTATTCTATTTCACCATTTCTTAGTGTAACTCTTGTCCCTCAGCGAGCTGGCAATGGTGAGTTGGAATTGTCCTAGACCCAGATGATGTTGTTATTTAAATTAGACAACAACCAGTTTCAAAATAATTCAATGTCAACATAATTCAAAATAAGAAATGTCAAAGTAATTAGTAAACAGATTAGATCCACATGCTTTGAAAAATCTGTATTATTTCAACAAAACTTAAAAAATGTGGCAAGATAGAACAATATCAAAAGTTATAAGTTATCAAACTTTGTGGTGGTGTAATCCTCTAACACCTAAAACAGAATCCATCTTTCTCATCAACTTGATATTCAGGAATTTGGTTTAAATAATACAATTAAACTAAAGTTAAATTGAAACCCATGAGAAAGAATGTTGGTCTTACCTGAACCTGTCTTTTCAGGGCTAGAGAGGGAGGGGTTATGCGTGAGTATTCTCAAAGCCTGATTGGTCCAAAGACTGAGGGAAACTTCTTAAATACTCCTTCCTTTCCCTTTATCTCCCAGTTTCCTCGAAGGTGAAATACTGCACCTGTAACTAAATACAAGACACCCTGGGAACCTCCCAGACCTCCCCTTGGCCCCACCCTACTCTAACTAGGGCGGGTCATAGCCCTTCCCTCTCTTCCCCTGAAAAGACACGTTCAGGTAAGACCAACGTTCTTTTTCCAGTGGAAGAGAGGGAGGGGTTATGCGTGGGACATACCCAAGCTTAGTCCCAGGGAGGGAAACTAGGGCCCAAAGGGAGAGTCAGCTGCCACCCTCTGCAGGACCCTATGACCAAATGATGTGTCCGCCAAGGCGAATGTGTCCAGTCGATAATGACGGATGAAGGGGTCGGCGATGCCCAAGCAGCCCCCTGACAGATATCCTCAAAAGGAGCTCTGGTGGCCCACACCGCTGTGGTCGCAGCACTTTTAGTGGAGTGTGCCGTGATCCCCACAGGGGTAGGCTGATCCGCTGCCTCATAGGCCCCTGCAATGGCCTGACGTATCCACCGGTCGATAGTGGTTGAGGAAACCCTGGCTCCCAGTGACCCCAGCTGAAATGAAATGAAGAGGGCCTCCAATCTGCGTACTCCCGCCATCCACCTGAGATAGATTGCGGCGGACATCCAGATGATGTCATAGTGTCTCCCTATCACTAGAGAGGGCCGGACAAAAATTAGGCAAGACTAACTCTTGTGTCCCATGAAAGAGGGTGTTCTCCTTTTCTCCTTTGGGAGAAAAGTGGGGTCCAGGTGAAGGACCACCCTATCTTGGTGGAATTGACAGAGATCGTCCTTGAAAGATAGGGTGCCTAGCTCTGAAATACACCTGGCTGACGTAACAGCCACCAGAAATGCCACCTTAAGGGACAAGAACTTAAGATGGACCATTTGAAGGAGTTCAAAGGGAGCCCCCGTCAAGGCCCTGAGGACCAGAGGGAGATCCCAGGTTGGAAATCTGTGAACAGGAGGGGGCCTGAGATTTGCCGCCCCTTTCAGAAAACACTTGATCAGGGGATGGTGGGAGAGAGAGGAAGAGTCCCCCCAGGACAGATGACAATGCCGCCACCTGGTGGTGTAGGGTGTTATGTGACAGGCTGTCATCCAGTCCCTTCTACAGGAAGTCCAGGATGTTGGGAATCGTGGCCCTGGCTGGACAGATGGCCAATGGGGAGCACCACCTGACAAAGGCTGACCAGGTGGAGTTATAGATTCGAGTGGTTGATGGTCGCCTAGAGGCTTCAATGGTTTGTATGACTTTGGAGGAGAGGTTAGCCTTCTTCAGGAGTTGCCGCTCAAGTGCCAGGCGGTCAGATGGAGCCACTGCGGCGCCGGGTGCATCAGAACCCCCTGGCACAAGATGATCTCCTCCGAAGGAATCTTCCATGGCTGGGAAACCGAAAGTTATACTAGGTCTTCAAACCAGGGTCTCCTCGACCAATAAGGGGCTAGCAAGATGATGTGAGCCCTCTCCATCACTACCTTCCTGAGGACTGCCGTGATAAGGGGAATGAAAGGGAAGGCATAGAGGAGGCCTGGAGGCCATCTGCTCTGGAGGGCATCCGTACCCTTCACGTCCCAGTTCCGGAAACGGGAGAAGAACCTCGGGAGCTGTGAATTTGCCAGGGTGGCAAACAAGTCCACCAACGGGGAGCCGAACCTCTGGCATATCTCCTGAAACAGATCGGGAAGGAGCTGCCACTTCCCATTGTCGAGGGTCACCCGGCTCAGCCAGTCCATCCAGTGATTGGCCTCTCCTGATAGGTGTTCTGACACCAGCGAAGCCAGATGTCTCTCCGCCCAAAAACTGATCCTTAGAGCCTCTAGCCAGAGGGCCCGAGAATGTGTCCCCCCCCGACGGTTTATGTGGGTCTTTGTGGCGACATTGTCTGTCAGGAGGAGCACGTGGCGGCCCCTCACAGAATCCTTGAAATGTTGGAAGGCCAGATGCGCTGCTTTCAGCTCCAACCAACTGATGTTGTGCTGGAGGTCTGAGACAGTCCAGCGGCCCTAAGCTAGTCTGCAGTCCATCAGGGCCCCCCAACTGAAAAAGCTCACATTGGTTGTAACTGTCACTCTGTCCAGCTCCCAAAACGAGCAGCCCCACCGCAGGGCTGGGGAAAGCCACCACAGGAGGGATACCTGGATCTCCGCTGGGAGATGGACGGTCCGGAGGGAGTTGCTCATTTTCCTCCTCTGAAACGGAATGAGCTCCCACTGGAGGGGCCGGAGGTGAAGCCTGGCCCACGAGACTATCCCGATGCATGAAACCATCTTGCCAGGTAACTGAGACAAGGTCAGGATGGAAACTGATTGACTTCTGCGAATTGAGCTTGCCAGCCAGTGAAGGCCGGCCAGACGATCCAGGGAAAGGCTGACTATCCCCAATACTGAATCTATGTCCCTAAGTGCGGGATTTGCATGGATGGTGAGAGATGACTTTTGGGGAAGTTGACTGAAAACCCCAATGACTGAAGGCACTGAATGGTGAGTTGAAGATCTGATACTGCCTGGGGAAGGGACCCTGCCTAAACAAGGACATCGTCTAAGTAGCATTGGAGTTTCACAGGGACCGCCGGTGAGCCGCCAATGCCGCCAGGACCTTCATGAACGTATGAGGCACTGAAGCCAGCCCGAAGGGGAGAGCCCAGTACTGATAGTGGAGGCCCCCCTGGGAAAATCTGAGATACCTGCGATGAGGTGGCAGAATTGGTATGTGAAGGTAGACCTCTGTCAGGTCCACCGATGCCAAGAGGTCCCCCCTCCGAATGCCCTGTAGCATGGATCCAAGGGAGGACATCTTGAAGCGCCTGTAGACCAGGAAGCGGTCCAGCCACTTGAGATCCAGAATTGCCCTCCAGCCCCCCGAACTCTTCGGGACCACAAACAGGTTGGAGTAGTGGCCCTGCCTGCATTCCCATGGTGGTACCACCTCCACCACCTAGATCTCGAGGAGATGTTTTATGGCTAGATCCATCAGGCAGCAGAGTTCTGGGCACCTCAAATGAGAGAATGTTCTGAAGATATTTGGGTGGTGGTGGAGAGGAACTCCAACCTCAGATCATGCCTGATGGTGGATCTGACCCAGGCTTCTGAGGTAATCTCATCCCAATGGTCCACATAGTGGGACAGGCAGCCGCCAATGGGAAGACTCGGGTTCGAGTCATTTCCCCCTGCGGAAGGGACAGCCGCCTCCACCTCGAAAGGGCCATCTAGACTGGTTTTGGAACATGTTACAGTCTTGATAGGACGGGCAAGAAAACTGCCTGTCCGATATAAAGGAATTGTACCTCTGCTGATGGTCATGCTCAGGAGCCCTGTAAGAGGACCTGCGATAAGGATGAGGATGAGACTCTGTCTTTTTAGCAGTAGAAGGGAGCACCTTCTTTTTAATCTTTATTTTTGACCAAGATGGGGTCTAGGGCCTCCTCAAAGAGGTTGGGACCAGTGAAGGGGGCAGCAGCCAGATTCCATTTTGCCTTATTAGCCATCTGCCAGTTGCGAAGCCACAACAACCAACGAGAGGTGACTGGAGGCAAACTTAACCACGTCCAGTGTCGCCTCGGCCGAAAACTGGGAAGCGGCAATTATTTTAGTGATGTCTTGGTGTAGACGATCCTCCTGGATCGGAATGCGATCCTGGAGTTGGCGGAGCCACGTGATGGTTGTACGATTAAAATAAGAGGCTGTGGAGATGGAGGCATTAAAATTCTTATGTAAGATAAGTTCCGTTCTTGTCCTCCGGCTTCAACTTGTCAGTGGCATCCCTGGAAACTGCCAGGGAAGACGCGACCAGGGCAGCAATAGGAGTATCAACCATGGGCAACTGAAGAGTCTTAGCCAGGACCTGTTCTACATTGTAGAAATGGCAGTCGTTGCTGCCCGGGTTGGAAAAATTGGAAGGACAGGCCCATTGGTTCTTCACAACCTCCAGGGGAGGAGCAGGGATCTCCTCTTTGTTTATGGTGGTATTAGAGAACATGGCCATGTCTGGATCTCTGGGCTGGGGAACCGTAGGGTCCCCAGTCCCAATCTTAGTGGTCTTCCTAGCCTTATGTAAAAGAGTCTTAAACATAGCTGGGGGAACCAGACTGGTAGAAGAGGGGGGATCAGGAGGAGCAGAGTCCTCGTCCTCCAAAAACCCCATATCATGTTGGTTGTCCTCACCCAGAGTGGATGACCACGGATGGGGATGGGGCCCTATGATGGAACTGATCACGACCATCTGGGGCCCTGCCAGAGTGGGATGCTCTCTCTCTGGGAAATGCCTTGAGAGATGGCTGCAGATATTGATGCTTGATGCTTTCAGGCAGGAGATCGAGATCCTCAAGATCCTCCCGGAAAGGACCTGGATCCTGGGGGGCTAACCTCCTAGTGGGATGGCATGCCCTAGAGGTACCTTCCAAAGGGCCTGCATCATTTACCCTTACTGGCTCAGGGGAAGTGGAGGGAGAGGGGGGGACACTTCCTGCCTGGAATATCCATGGGACCTGGGAGGAGAAACTGAAGCCCCTAGGAGAGGCTGAATGGTGGGAAGAGTGCCTGACTGGGACCTGGACCTACTGGCTGATCTGGGCCTGGTGGATAAGGCCTGTTTCTCCGCCCTGGCAAAAGTTTTCTCCAGGGCCTTCTGCCGCCTCAAGTCCTCTCTGGTAGTAGCCCTGGATGGGCATTGGGCCATCAGAGGTTTGTTCACGGCAGCCCTGGTCCTAGGCCCAAGGGATGGTTCCTCCCCTTCCATAGGAGCCTCTACCGCGCTTTGGGGCAGTTTGGATCTTGCCTCCATCGCCCCAGTTATGTGCACGATGATAGGCCTCTGTAGGCTCCACTGGTGCCTGGGCCTCTGAGAGCTGTGGGGCTATTGGCCAATTAATGTTTCCGGACTTCCGCTGGAAGAAGCATGCAGTGGATTGTGGCCTTCTACACGTGGTGAGTGCAAAATGGCCGTCGAGCCTTCGACCACGCTGTCTGCCTTCTCAATGCGGCTGCGGACGCTCTAAAAACTCGGCAGCTTGCCTCTCCTTGACTCCGGCCTGGGAAAGATCTCCTGTGGCCTGGGGACCATTGCGCTGTGGCCCGTTATACAATCCGCTGTCCCTTTAAGGTTGGGACCACGTGGCAGCTGGCAGCCGTTGAAAGAGCGACGGGCGGCTGAGCAGACTCTTCGCGCACGCCCCTAGTAAGCCCCGACAGTTTTCTCAATTTGCAGTCTGGTCTTTTTTCATTTTAAAAAACAAGCTCCCTGGGCTGCACAACAAGAACCCGTCACCCCTGCTGGCTCGGGGATATGATCAGGCCTCAAGGCCTGCAGAGGGGGCGGTCAATGCCCCACAGGGCTCTCCCCAACTGCGCGAGGCAGAAATGATTGTCCCTTGGGCCGCAGCGAATTAATTTTGGAAATTTAGAATATCCAATTAGCCAAAATATTCATACCAATATTAAACCATGAAATTTCCGACCTAAGATCAAATGTAACAGTGCTTGGACCAAAAAGACTGAGAGGAAACTGGGAGATAAAGGGAGAGGAAGGAGTATTTAAGACGTTTCCCTCAGTCTTTGGACCAATCAGGCTTTGAGAATACCCTCGCGTAACCCCTCCCTCTATTCCACTGGAAAAATACAATGCTTTTATATTGATTGAACGATGAAGAGAAAAATCAAAATAAAGAATTCTCTTAGAGAAAAATGACATCTCTTGATAATAAAATATTAGGAAATTTGATCCCTGATGGTTCTCACTCAATTAGCATTTTGAAAAGCCATAAAGACCTGGCTGTTTTTTCAGGTCTTGGACTATTTATTTGTTTTGGATGTCAATTGTGGGCAGCATGTTTTTTGGGGTGGGAGGGGTTTGCCAGGTTTACCATTTTGCTCTTCTTCCTTTCATTTTTCTCAGTCATCCTGTTTTGTTATTGTTTGGTATACTATTTTTGTATTGTTTTGTTATACTGTGAACCGCCCAGAGTCATTTGAAGTTGGTCATTGTCTTTGAATAAATGAATAAATAAATGGTTGGCAATTATAGCAGCTGAGGCCCAATACTTGGAATAGGTATTAGATCAAAGAAGGTTCTTAGTAAACAAACAATCCATATACGAAGTAATTTGAACTCTATAATTTATATTTAATGTCATTGTACAAGGTGCAATGACAATAAAGTAAACTAAACTATAATAATTACCTCATTAATTGCTTGCAGTTTAAATTGCCCTAATGTTATGATTGCCCAACTACACTAAGTCAAAACTCACCTTTCTGTTCTCAGAAGGAATATTGTTGACATCAAAAGTTTACAGGATAAAGCTTTCATGACAGTGACTGGAAATGCAGGTCAAAACTGTTTTCTTCTTACCTGCTTAAGATGTTCACTGAGAGCAATTCTCAAATTACTCTTCCTCCTGTTCAACATTTCACACGTCATCAGGGTATAAAAGAAGGCCGTGCAGGCAAGTGGCATACAGAAGTAGAAACCAAAGAGCCACCAATGTTTTACGTCAATGTAAAACTGCAAAGACATCAAATGTGACAGGTTGTGGCTAAGTAACTCGCAGTATCATTCTGCAATTTCCATAGAACATGCAGGCTACATTCTTCGGGAGCTTTCACAACTAGAAGCTTCCAAAACTGCATTTCAAGGCTCAAGATTTAGAGGAATGGCTATCCTGTTGAAGAATTTTAGAAGATTCTCATTTCTGGAGAGCACCAAACTGAGAAATTGTTCTATACCAGAGGTGGGGAACAATAGCCCCTTTATGAGTCAGCAGAATTCTGGGAGTTGAAGTTCACAAGTCATAAAAGGGGCATAATCTCCTATCTCTATTCTACACAAAAGAGGAATTGGCATAAATACGACCACAACAATTATCACAATTGAAACTGTTAGGAAAATATTTCTATCTTTGCCTTTGATTTGAAAAGATCAATTCACAACAATCAGGACCAATTTAAGACATTCTGCTGCCTGAAATGCTACATTGTATACCTCCTGTTCCTAAATAAAAGAGCCTTGGCCAGTCGTATCAGCAGAATTCTCTCACAAGAGTTGTTGAACATTTAGCACCTGGATTATAGGCAGAATACACATGTACTAGACATATATTTTTACATATGAATTAAAACACTCAGGAGTTTCTACACAGCAGAGCAGATGATTGGATGCAATACAAATTCCTCAACATTCCCCTTTCTCACCATAAGTATCTTCTCATAAACAAAAGAAGAAATAAAGTAAAGATAGAGTAGGGACTAGACTGAATTGGCAGGAGATGAATAAGGAAGGTGTTTAATCAGCCTATTGAGTCTCTTGGGAGAGGAAGAAGGTAGGAAGCAAAAAAAAGTACAAGAATTCTCTTACAAAGAATAAGAGTACTTAGATTCTGATTTGTGTGTTTGTGTGATGCTTATTGCTGGATATCACTGTATTATCAAAACTGACTTTTAAATCCTAGTCATTAAATACTTCCTATCTATATATTAAAATCAAAGAGCACCAGGAGTCATGTGAATTGCCCGTCTAACAGAAAGTCTGGTCTGTTACCTTTTAAGGCTTTTAAGAATGGCTTTGATTCCAAAAGGTCCAGGTTAAGAATGTCTTCTGTGTATAATTGGGCCATGCTATCAGTAGAAAGATTAACTGTCTTGCTTGTGTGTCCAGCAAAAAGAGGCCACTTAACATGTCTTAGTCTGGAAAATGTGGAGTACAGCCTGCCTGTTCCAGTTACTCTGATTCTCTGCTTGTTTTAACTCCCTGTCTGGAATGTAACTGTTTGCATGGTATGCTGGGAGAAAGAATCAATGGTCTGAGTGAATATCAGTCTTGCCTATATGCATTTTCTGTTCATTTCTATATATGAGTAGCAGGCACACATACAAAAACATATACTTATATGTCAAATGAAACATCTCCTATTCCCAAATATTTGTTATGAGTTGGATTGGTATATAGGGGATTCCTTGTTCTCATCTCCTTTTCATTTAGTTGTTTATTCTGATGCTATTTTACTTGTTTTCATATGAGAATATCATCATGCAAATAGCTAAGGATTATGTTTGGCTCTTTATAGTCATAAAACTGCTATTTTGTTTATGCATAACTAAATCAGAAAAGCTAGCTTTGGAATTAGATTAAACCTTTACTGTAACTAATATAATCTTAATAAATGGTGTTTGACTGTTACAGGCATCGTTTACATGTGAAGTCAGCACACAAAAATAGGATTTCCCCCCCCAAAAGAGATGCCTAGAGCGCCGCTGGAGGGCCAGTAAATCTGAGTCAGACCGAGCACTGATGAGAGCCATTATTAGAGCCTATCTCGTGGCAATACAGGCGGCGAAATGTTCGCATTTTGCCGCCCTTATTGCATCCGCCGAATCGCGCCCAGCCGCCTTGTTTAGAATAACCCGCTCCCTCTTGAAAGGGAGGGATGTGGGTGACCCTCTACAGCAGTGGTCCCCAACCCCCGGTCCGTGGACCGGTGCCGGGCCGCGGAGTACCTGGCACCGGGCCGCGGAGCGGCCGGGGGCCATGATCACTGCAGCTGGTCGCCGTGGCTCTCCTGCTGTGCCTGCCGCTCCTCTTCCAGCTGCTCGCCCAGCGCGCAAAGCTCCCGGCAGCGGCGCCACAGCTCCTCGAGGCGCCGGCGGCTCTCCTGGTTCTGCGCGCGCAGCTTGCGCAAGTCCTGTTGGCCCAGGCAGCCCCCTTCCAGGCGGCGGAGACGCAGCTCTCCAAGTTGCGCGCTCAGCCTCTCCACTGCAGCTGGGCGCCGTGGCTCTCCTGCTGCGCCAGCCGCTCCTCTTCCAGCCGCTCGCCCAGCGCGCAAAGCTCCCGGCAGCGGCGCCACAGCTCCTCGAGGCGCCGGCGGCTCTCCTGGTTCTGCGCGCGCAGCTTGCGCAAGTCCTGTTGGCCCAGGCAGCCCCCTTCCAGGCGGCGGAGACGCAGCTCTCCAAGTTGCGCGCTCAGCCTCTCCACTGCAGCTGGGCGCCGTGGCTCTCCTGCTGCGCCAGCCGCTCCTCTTCCAGCCGCTCGCCCAGCGCGCTCCTGGTTCTGCGTGCGCAGCTTGCGCACGCAGGTCCTGTTGGCCCAGGCAGCCCCCTTCCAGGCGGCGGAGACGCAGCTCTCCAAGTTGCGCGCTCAGCCTCTCCACTTCAGCTGGGCGCCGTGGCTCTCCTGCTGCGCCAGCCGCCCCTCTTCCAGCCGCTCGCCCAGCGCGCTCCTGGTTCTGCGTGCGCAGCTTGCGCACGCAGGTCCTGTTGGCCCAGGCAGCCCCCTTCCAG